TCTTAAAGAAAGAAAAGCACCAGCAGGGTCCTGCCACCCAATGTGGCCCCTTTGTGCAAGGGGCCCCAGCACTTCTCTCAATCAGGAATCGTGTTGGGATAGATCCATAAATGTCTAGGATGTTATTGGAGGACCCTTAGAATTAGAGCCTTTGCACAACCACCCACTGGTTCAGTATCAGGGAAAAGGGGGCTTGCTGGAAGCCCAGACCTTACCTGCCCACAAAGTACTTATGGAGCAAATCCTCACATGTACCCCACAACCCTAAAATAAGTTTTTAAATTCCACATTTAATAAATAAATAAATAAATAGTGACTTTGTGCAGTATACAACCTGCACACCCGTGAGCACTGGCCAGGGACACCAGGGACCTACACTGTGAGCCTTCCACGGGCCGGGCTTACCTTACCAACTGGAAAGGTGATGGTGTGGGCATCTGATGAACACTGTGGATGGGGACAGAGACTCCCCGACCCTCCCACTTTGGGTAGAAGAACAACGTCTCTTTGGGAGCTTCCAGTTATTGACCCCTTTCACTACTTAAATGGCGCTCAGTACCTGCAGAACTGCACCTAGGAGTGAAACACTACAGGACCTCAGTGCCCCCTGCCATCACCCACCCCCGTGTGGCCCAGTGCGTGCAACTGGTGGGGGTCTGGGCGAAACATCCACCCTCCTCACCTTTCACCCCTGGGCTCCAGGTCTAGGGAAGGCCTCCCACAAGGCAGCCCAGCACATGCTCTGGGTCGGGCAGTCTGGGCTCTTGTCCAGAGCCCTTTGGTCTGCCTGTTTCCCATACCACATCATTGTCCGTGGGCTCAGAACACACTGCAAAAGGACACCCGTCCCAGACACGGCTTTGCTGCTCTCCATGGGTGGAGCAGGGGACAGTATATCCTCCTCAGGCCCTGCCTGGGTGCAGATGAGTCCCCACAGTGCTCTCGCCTCATAGGATGCCTGGTGTGGACTCGACCCAATCCCACATACTTGGGGCGCAAGTTGTGTGCCACGTTAAACCGCCACAGAGAGATCAGTATCAAGCAGCTACCAAAGGGGAGTAGTGGAAGAACTTCTGAGCCAAACAGCACGTATTTAGAAACGCCCACAAATGCAAGATATGGTAGTAAAACATTACAATGGTGTCACTGTCCATCTTTTGGCCCTTCTTCCCCGTTTCGTCATCTTGTCCTTATGTCCTCTTACATTTCTGTCTCTCTCTCTCTCTATATATATATATATTTTTTTTTTTTTTAAATACCTTTGGGAGATACAGTTTTTGGTCTGGGCTTTAAGTGTACCCACCACTGTCTCTGACAGGTGATTTTCATTTCTCTATCCCATCTCCCACCCACTTCCGCATCTCCAGTGTTCATGACACCATCTCTACACCTTTGCCGATCCTTAGTCTAACTCCCTTTTACAAGTGAGAACGCGTGGTGTTTGGTTTCTGGCATATTTCTAATGAACTGCCTCGACCTCTGTCTGGAAGGAGGCCCGTTGTGAGCAGAGAGAACTACAGGCTCCTGGCCTTGTCGCTGGGACCTTCCAGGCCAGGCAGGACTGTGTAGCATACAAGAGTTCTTGAAACATAAAGAATGATACCAGAGCTGCTGCGAGGTTGGGTGCGTAATCGCATGTCCTGTGAGAAATGGGGATGCCAACTGCCCTAAGACAGGAGTCCACTGGAAAATCCCAGCAGAGCTGGTTGGAGCATGGGGACAGGGAAACCTCCCAGGGGCAGAGAAGTTCAGAGAGGAGAGAAGCTCATGCGTACTACGTTGAGATTGCTCCAGAGAGGCGGAGGAGGGATTTGCTGGCAACAGGGACACAGGGGCGTCTGAAGAGGAGATACAGGGAAGAGGCTGAGGAGAGGAGGCGAGGAAGACAAAGTCGGGGCATAAACACTCTCAGGGATATGGAGGAATGATGCCAGGAGTCCTGTGGGAAGAGCTGAGGGAAAGTCAAGGAACCATGCAACCAGGGCTGCTTAAAAATACCAAGAACCAGCAAGGCACAGTGGTTCACACCTATCAGGCCAGCACTTTGGGAGGCCAAAGTAGAGGATCGCTCAAGCCCAAGAGTTCAATATCAGCCTGGGCAACATAGCAAGTCATCATCTTCACAAAAAAAATGAAAAAAAAATTAGCTAGGCGTGGTTGTGTGCACCGGCAGAAGGATCACCTGAACCCAGGAGGTCAAGACTCTGGTGAGCCATGTTCATGGTTCTGTACTCCAGCCTGGGTGACAGAGTGAGACCCCGCCCAGGGGTCCTCTCCAGGGCCCCAGCAACCGCGTAACCAAGCCAGCATCTCCGAACCCTGTAGCACAGAAATTCACTGAGCCCTGTAGCAGAAACCCACTGGTCCAGGGTTCTAGAATGAAGCAAATGGTTTCCTCTGAACTCATAATCACACGCTTAGGGTGTCACGGCCAGGGAGAAGCCAGGAGCAGGGTCCCATTCGGGAATCCCCAAGAACCAACCAGGGTTGGCGGAGAAGGAAGGATGTGGGAATGGTGGCAACACTATATGAGATGTCCCACACAGCGTTTTCCCGATGTCATCCCTCATCACGACCTGAAAGGAAGCAAACTCACCCCACTTAACAGTGAGGAATCTGTGGTTCAGGGAGGGCTTCCAGGTGAGAACATGCCTAAGGTCACACCACCTGTCAGGGACAAAGCCAGGACTCAGACTCAGTTGATCCGCCTTGGGATCCCACAAGCCTTGCACTACGTTGTGCATGCATACCACACAGCAAGGCTATATTGTATGACCCACACTCAAGGTGGGATTTTACAGGGACCAGGAAAAGGCCAGGGAGGGAGGCAGGTGCAGGAGGACTCGCAGAAGGCAAAGGCTGCCCCAGTGCCGTGTGGCGGTGATTTTGGAGTAGGGTCTATCCACATGTGATGGCTGAGCTCATTGCAGGAACTAATAAGTTAATGAAAAGTGATCACGTGGGCAGAGGCTGACACACTGAACAGTGGGAAGGTGGTTAACAGTGCAAACTTTGACTTTGGTGTGAGACTTTGGGCAAGTTTGGGCAAAATAGGGATAATGATACGGTTTGGACATCATAGGATTTTGTGAATGTTCAACCATGTATAGCAGTTCTTACCATTCTCATTCCTTTCATTGTCACGATCCTTTCTACGAGGGACAGTTGTCCATTTGCATAAGGAGCCCAGGGAAACATTGCTGTGATCCTTCCCTTCCCAAACAGGACTCTCACGCTGCCCATTGTGGCTCTCTTTTCTCCCTCAGAGTAACCCTGGGGGCTTGTTTTCTCTCTATTTTATCAGGAAAAGTGTTGGAGGGAGATTTTGTCGAACAGACACATGTGGCCTGAGCCCAGGAGGCACTGGGAGCACGGATGTCCCAAGCGGACAAGGAGCCCTGCGGTCTGGCAAGTGTCCAGGGGGTGGAGCCAGAGAGCCCCCAGCCACCTCGCCACAGCCGATAGCGACTATCTACACATCCAGGCAGGCAGAGGCTAAGGGAGGGGAGACGCAGGACAGCTGCACGACTCTCTGGGGAGCTTTTTTTGTCTTAATTCTGTGCTCACAGAAGTGCATCCCAGTGAGTGAGGTTTCTGCCCTGACAGAACAGGCCACAAACTGAAATTGAAGACAAGAAGGAAGGAAGAGGTTTTTACATTCAATTTTAGAATCCCCTGCCGTGGATGTTTGCCTCCTGACTTTTAAATGGCAGCAGAGTTTGGCCTGGGGTTCTCACCTAGAAAGAAGGACATCTCGGAGGAATGCTGGTGTTTTTGTTTACTCCTTGCTGGGGAAAGGGGCAGTTGGCTTATAGAAAACAAACTGCACACACCTGTCTCCTACCCTCCCACCATGCCTCAGGCCTCGCGTGGTTCTGACACCTGGGCCCGAGTTGTGTCGAGTCTAAGAAAATACCATGCCAAGAGCATCTCCTGCGTCCACGCTGCAGCCACCTGCCCCATGGGTATTGGCTTGTGACACCATGCTGATCCTGTCCAGTTAAGTCTTTCCAAAAATGTGGGAAGGGGCTAGAGGGCACAGCACAGAAAAGAAAAAGATGTATGTCTGTGGGACTGCTGCTGGGCAAAGATCTTGGACCACTGTGGATGTGATGGCAACGCGGAGGGCACCATGCCAAGCACACACAGAGAGAGAATCGGGTACCAGGTACGAAGCCAGGGGACCAGATCCTCAGTCCTGCCTTGGCACCGGGGCCTGGAGTGGGAGGAGAAAGCCGAGCCCATGAATAAGCGGTTGGGCTCTGGGTATAAAGCTGGGTGCCGCCCCCAGCTCTGTCTCCCAGGTCACCCTCCCTCTCGCGAGCCGGCGTCTACCTCCCACCACCTTCTGCACCGGAGCTGCTGGAGGGTAAGTGCCCACCTCTGTCTATATGTATCCAACTGTTCATTGTTGGGGGTTTGACTTCTTAGTCCTCTCTGCTCTTTTTCTCTTTTCTTTTGCAAATGGAGAAAATGTGTCACAACTGATTAGAAGCAGCAAAGTCAGAGTTCTGGTAGACCAGAAAGCAATTTACAAAAGGCACGGGCTTCTTTCTGGACACTTAAAAGCCGTGATTTCGGAAGCAAGGTGGGAACAGCACCGGAGCTGATGTGGAAGAGGGTTTGCAGCTGGGTGTCCACCCAGTGTGCTTACTGATTCAGTTAATCAACACTCTCAGGAGTTCGAGCTGTGTTCCTGAAATCAATAAAGTTGGAGACAAGTATCTACATGACTCAGAAGGGGAAAGTGGGCTCCTGGATATGGCCCTTTCCAATTACGGATTTATGGATCTCCTGCGTGTGCTGTCATGCTGAGGGCAGTGTGCCCATGCAGCCATTGGGAGAAGCAGTCACAGCTGAAGCCACAAATGCTGCTTCTATGCCACTGCACTTTCTGGCATCTGGAGTCAAGACTTCTGTGAGCAGGGCCTTCCGAGGAGAAGGGCTTTCCTCGGGAGAGGGGAATACCTGACAGCATGTCCCTTGTTTCTGATTACAGTTTTAAAGAAAACTGAAGCACCTCTGCCACTTAAAACAAAAAATGACCTAAAATAAAGATTATAGTAAGTACCAACAAAGATCAGTACTGAAAATCTCTTTATTATGATAGAGCATGAATGTTTAAGTGCTTTCTTCTATATCCACATTCAAAACTCTATGTTCTTTTTTAAAGTTTGAGGCATAGACAATCGAAGCCTTTCAGGCCTCTTATATTGCTCAGATTTCTAATATATGCTGACACTAAAAGGCATTTTATTTTGTATAATAAAACAGGGAATATTCATTGAATTGAAACCTTGATACTGCCGCTTATTAAAATGCTGAAACCTGCCTCCTTTTACCAGTGATCTGGGCTATGAAAAGTTCTTTTTGACTCCTGCCAAAAAGCTCCTCAGTGCTGCCTCCAAAACATTCCTGGGATGTTAACCCCAAAACACACAGGCCTCACTGTGGACGTGTCAGCAATGCGGGAGAGTGAGGTTCACGCTGAGGCTTGGGGGGACATTTGTCAGAGCGTAGCTGCTTCTGGCAAGGGCAGAGGGAAATGGGAAATGGGGGCTGGAAGAACCCTCTCTTTGCTGTGGTTCAACCACCACCCCAAGATTACTTCAAAGTGGCTGTGAAGACAGGCTGTGTCCACCGTAGCCCTACTCCCAGCCCCCGCTGCAGACCCTGGCACACAGAAGCTGCTCCTTCGCTGTGTGTTCACTTGGACAGAATCCTGAGTGGCATTGCCTGGCTCCAGCTTTGAAGACAGAGGGCTACCAGAGCTGACCTATACCATGAGGCACACTCTGCTGCTTGCTGAGGGAACTCGGGTGGTTCCCACTCTGAACCTCAGTTTTCTTTTCTATAAAATGAAGGCTTTGAACTATGTGGTCTTTAAAATCCTACCTGGTTCTCAGATTTTTCTGTCTGCTGGCTCAACGAAAATATTGATGTTGAGCTCATGACCATGGTTCTCCGAAGTGTGTTTGATTTTTCAGGTGGGGAAAGGTGGGCAGGGCAGGGAGTGGGGGGGGAATGCACTAGATAATATGACAGCCCTGCTTGACTTTTTCTTTTATTCGTCAATTTCTTTGCTTTTAAACTTTTATAAAATGAGAGCCCTAACACTGGGTTTCTTAAAGTTGTTCTTTATCAAACAAAAATATTCAAATGCAACCCTCAGACACACCAGTTTGGTACACAGCTAGCCGTGGATAAACACACAATTTTTTCCTAACATACATTAGAAATATTTTCCAAAATTGTGGGTTCTTCTGAGTCAGTCTGGTAGAATGTAGGTTTTCAGGTTCCAGGCCAAGTCAGTAGAAATAAAATAAAAATAAAAGTAAAAATAAAATAAAGGAGAGAAAAGAGAAATCACAACTTTTTTGGAACTTCTGAAGGAAAAGTGCTATCTTTGGATGCAATGGAAGTTTAAAAAGGGAAAATTTATGAAAAGCTGCCACACATGTTGAATTCAACTGAGAACTGTTTATTATTAACAAAGTGATGTTCAATATTTCAGAATTCTTGGCCAGGTACGGTGGCTCACATCTGTAATCCCAGCTCTTTGGGAGGCTGAGGTGGGAGGATTTCGTAAGGCCAGGAGTTCAAGACTAGCCTGGGCAACATAGTAAGATCCCCATCTCTACCAAAAAAAAAAAAAAATTAGCCAGGCATGGTAGCACTTGCAAAACTCCATTTAGCAGTCTCTTAAACAGGGCTTATGCTGTGCATAGAAAGAGTGACTGGTATCTTATTATAGAAAACAGAGCCACACCACCACCTCCTCCTCACATTTGAAAAGGAACAAGCCCGGGGCAAACTGTTGCTTTGATGTGGGTCCCCAAGACAAAGCCTGCACAGTCCGCCCCAGGCGTTTCAGAGCCTGAAGCCCGTACACCCTCTCTGGAACAGGCTGGCGGCGCCGGCCTCCCGCCGGTGGGGAAACACAGCAGCACAAAAATCTGTGCATTGGTCTCTCTGCACAGCATGGCTGGACTTTTTTTTTTTTTAAAGCAAAATAAATGAGCACTTAACTTGTGCAGTCAGCTCACTGCCTCTCCGCCCCTGCAAGCACTTTGCGGATGGGGAAGTCCTCCTCCATTAGACGTCTCTGTGGGAGTCACAGCCTTTCCCCCAGGAGCCTATGGGCAGCTCCCAGCACCCTCAACTCGCCTTTCACGTGAGCTTCAGAGTGAGGACGCGCATTTTGATTCACATATCTTTGCCCTTTGTCATGTATTGAGAAAAAGGAAGGATGAATGGACGGTCTTTGATTGGCGGCACAGGTCACGCCCGTCATGGTCCAATTTGGAGGGACCCTTTTGGAAATAAAGCTGGTGAGGCAGCACGCAGAGGCATCGCCCAGCTAAGCTCGGCCCTGGCAGATGGGGCACAAGAACAGGTATGCTTCCCTCATGCAGCCTCTGTCTTGGGGAACCTGGGTGCCTGCTCCAAGCTCTGGTGTCTTTTCTGAGCAGAACCTGGGATGTGGGGGCCAGCAATTCTGCTAAGGGTTGTGGCTGTGGGCTGAACCAGAGGCACAGGGATCCTGGTCCAAAAAGTCTCATGGCACTCACGCCAGTTTAGAGGCTAGACTATTGAGCTGGGGAACTTGACAGCCATGGAAAGGCTAAGAAAAAAGTCTTCTGGGGCTTCACGTTTGCCCTGCTTTGAGTTCCTTTCTTGCTGTGGTCCCCTCTTCTTAGCTGAAAGGTAATGGCCTGCTTCGTAAGGGCTGAGACGTTTGAGCCTCAGTGGAAGGTCCTGGCTGCATAGCCTGGCACTGCCACACATCCAGTTAGGCTGTGTGGATTCATTCTTAAACTTCCCTAAAGATACACAAATATTCCAGCAGGATAAAATTCTAGGGTGCATTACAGTTTCAGTTTGTGAATTTTTTCTAAGCAGTTCTCATGCCTGAGTTCTGGAGCAAGTAGTCAGGACTCTTAGGGGTTCCAGAAGGGTCCAGCAATTCAGAATAAATGGTTCCCAGGGACTCAAATAACAGTAACTGTCTGCTCAGGTCATGAGAAGACTCTTCTCTGGGACATCCTAGCCCTACAACCCATCCCAATATGCAGAGATTGGAGACTCACATCTCAATAAGTCTTCATGTTGAACTGTAGATTTGGAAAAAGTTGGTTTAATCTTTACTTAACTTTGAGTGGCTTAACAGGGGACTCAGGCCATTCTGGTTCTCAATCACGTTTGGCCAGTTTATTATCAGGTTTCGAATCTGTATCTCCAAAATCTCTGAGGTGATGGGGTATTTTAAACACTCTAAAATAAATAAATGTATGCTGGAAGTTTTGAGCACATGAACTTGTTTATTCTGAAACAGCGCATGTACCTGCTCTTGTAGCTGATGGAAAATGCCACTACGGTGCTGCCTCTTCAGGGCTTGATACATTCAGTTAGAGACCCTAGAGGCAGGTGTGTCTTTGGGATTCTTGCCACAGCCTAGGCTGAAGCCTGATACCCCTCATAAATTAGTGGCTTTGAAAATGGGTCACTGTTGCTGAGTCAGGGCTTACCAAGCAATATTTTCAATGATGAGATCGGAAGGAGAGAAATCTGAAAATAAATGGTAGCCATCACTAAGATTATGAAATAAAAGGCAATTTTCCATAAATATCTAATTATTCTAATAGTCTTTTTTCTTTGATCCTGGAGTCTGCTGAGCTCTGTATAGACCCAGCTTTGGTTCTGGATCTCCAGGATCCACTGACAGATGTTGGTGTCCAACACTGTTTTGCCAAGACAAAATGACCTTGATTTGGAATGCATTGTATAAATAGCTTCTGCTTTGTGCAACGATTAATGGTTTGCCATTGTTTAAAAACAGAAGGGTTAGTTGGGCAGTGAAGTAATACAACTAAAATGTAATTGTTAGCAATAAACCAGTTAGCCATGTTGATTTCTGAACTGAGATTAATAGACACAAAAACTAGAGTCAGGAATATTTTTTAAAGACATAATTTTATTATCTGCTCATCGCTATTTGTTGGATATGGTAATTGGAACATGATGGGGTTGGGAACAGACATGAGGACCATTTGATCCAGCCTGGCCACAGTGGGGAGACAGGCTGGTTTCTCTGAGAGGGCTTTGGCGTTTCTTTGGTCATGTCTCACGTGGCTGTGGCTTCAACCTCCACAATTATGCCTTCCAGGATCTGATGATTTTGGCGTTTCCCTGCTTCACACTGACCTGGCTGTGCTGTCTGCTGTTTTTGCACTCAAGGTGGTTTTGCCATTGGCTTCCTCCTTCTGCCTGCCTCTGGGATTATGTCAGTGGTAGTCTTTTTTATCTACCATCGGCACCATGAAATCTTCATTTTTGTCTTCAAGGTACCATATTCTGGTGATGGTGGTGCTTTCCAGTTACATACTTATCATGAGAAGTGAATGGTCCCATAGTGAACACAAGTCATGGTTCTATTGTTCACATTTTCCTGGCAGATTTACTATAACTACGCCCTGTACATTTTTCTATCGTATAATCCTCAGATCATTGCTCTTTGGTTTTCAACAGTTTTGTCCACTTCCATCTTTCCCAGTTTCTATACCTCTGTGGAGTATCATTCTTGTCTGTTTTTACACATTTGAATAATAAATTCCAAAAGAGTATGTGCAGCAGTGTCATGATATAAGGACAAATACAAGTAATCCTGGACTTGGAAACCAGGATTTGGGAGGCTATGTCAACACACACAAACTCTTTTTAAAAAGTCTTCCCATTTGAACTTTTAAAAATATATTTTTTTATAAAATAAAAATTTAATTTTAAAAGGGTGCCTGTCTTGGAAAGTAGCTCACCAGCTCATTAGCGAGCGGGCCACTTTGTAACCTGATTTCTTGCTCAATTGACAATATGAAGCTTAAGCACATACTTTTAGCTCTGTCTATATTATTTGACTTGTTATGTTGACATTAATTGTGTTCAGTCTTCTCAACTAGACTGGGCTCCTTCAGTGCAGGAAGTATATGCTCCATAAGTGTTTGTTGGACTAAACACTGAACCTCATGAAATTAAAGACCAGGACCTTCTCATGGTAGCATTAGACACTAATGACGAAGGTGCTGTGGGATTTGGGTTTGGGTAATAATCTCCATGATGGTATTACAGGAGGAAAATGGTACTTTCTTAGTTCCATGGAACACTGTGGTCCAGATCTTCTGTGACTGCTAGGACCAGGCCTAAAGCTGGCTAACGTGAGTGTTCTGCACTAGGGATGTTCATGAGTTCTGTCCTTTCCCCAAGGAGCTGGAGCAAGAAATTGCCATGGAAGACAGCCCCACTATGGTTAGAGTGGACAGGGGTGAAAACCAGGGTTCGGCAAGCCGAGGGAGAAGGTGCGTCCCCAAGGTACTTGGCTATATCACCGGCGATATGAAAGAATTTGCCAATTGGCTTAAAGGTATTTATGCTTCTGTCCTTTGGAAAGATAAGAGAAGTGGCTTTGGGGGAAATGGCTTGCTGGAACTCCTACTTAGATCTTTAGTTGTATTTCCCAGCTATTTACTGATCTCTTTACTCTCTATTTTTCTACTTTTTTCTCTTCTAACCAGCAAACCTCTCAAATTTGTTTTAATGGAGATCATGGTCAGGGATAGACTCCTGCTCGTATCAGAGGAGGCACCTGGCTCCATCCTGTAATTTTAGTATTTACAACTTTTACTATTGGATAAATCTTCCTTTTGCTTACCTCTGTGCATTAGATGCTTTCTGGAGCTTAGATTCTAGTAGGGGCAGTGTGGGTTGAGCAAAAAGAAACCAGATCGATGCTTTCAGGGATCTGGGTGCCACTCAAGGGACAAAGAGTCTAGAGAGAAAAAGCTAAAGGGAAGCCCAGAGCCCATTTTGCCTCCAGGGGGCTTGGATGGCTTGTCAGGTAGGCTCTGGGTTGGACAGGAGTGCAATCCGGTTGCATCCTTAGCTCTGCTTGTTTCACCTTTCCAGACAGACCTGTGGTGCTCCAGTTTGTGGACTGGATCCTTCGGGGTATATCCCAAGTGGTGTTCGTCAGCAACCCCATCAGCGGAATCCTGATTCTGGTCGGACTCCTGGTCCAGAACCCCTGGTGGGCTCTCACTGGCACTGTGGGAACAGTGGTCTCTACACTGACGGCCCTCTTGCTCAGCCAGGACAGGTAGGCACATCCTCCCAAGCCTGCCCGGCCCCCTGTGAGACCCAGGGGCTGACCAGTAAGCATGAGCATCCGTCCCAGGAGAAACAACCTTTTGTCCATAGAACTCTTCATATTTGCCTTTAGTCGGAGGTCAGGGAATCAGTTACAGTCTCTTATTCTTGGTCTCTGAATAAGTGGCTAGTCTGAATGATGCCACATTCTTGTGGCATTACATGGTAACCAGAACTAAGCTGCAAGTAATTCCCAGAAATGGTTCAAAAGTGATCTTCTTTAATGATTGATGAAATTATTTGTCATCTGTTTTGGGCCAAAGTACATATGAGTTCACGCAAGCTCTCAGTAGTTTAATAACCCCCTGTTATATCTTGTTTTCATGATGAGTTTAGCAACCTTATTCTTCATAGACAGTGCAAAGGTCAGCTCAGCTCCTGGAGAAATGAATAACCATAAATTCCAAGTAGATTCTGACTTAAGAAGCGTCAGTGACTCTTCTGATATATGTGTTAGGTTAAAAATAGCACGTACTCTATAAACTGATCTATCATTGAAGAAGTGATACATTGATTCCCACCAGGGGAGCAGAAGGTTCCTCACTAGCCAGTTCCTTCGGGAAGAGAGCCAGTTTTCTAAGTGTCCAGACCAGTGAATGATGCCCAGGGGAAGGTCATTACAGACTTAGGTCTTGTAACACAAACTAAAAACTACCTAAGGAGGTCTGTGGGGAGAATTAACAAATGCTCCACTTTTCCATCAAGTCCAAGGATTTTGTGTGCTCCCTGTAGACGGTGATTTTGTATCTTAGGTTAAACGCTATTCCAGTACAGACCAAGAAACGGTCTTCCCAGTTTGGGAACGAGGTCTAGGACTGTCCCACATTGGATATTCCTTCATTGTTTTGCTCCAACAAAACCAATTTCATTTTCCTTGCCAGGTATTATTTAGAAGACAAATCACATTTATATGTTAGTCAAATCTTTTACTTTCCTTAGTCTAAAATGAATGCATTAAGGGCAACCTCTTTCAGGTCCCCTCCCACTATGGAAGCTTTCCTATCTTCTTAATAAATCCTACTTTATTTATAATCCAACTGAGTCTAAATTTTAAATAAGACTATGTGGTCATTTGCTGACTAGGGGTCACACATGTACTCTGAGGGTCCCCCAAAAGCTACACCTTTTTATCTATGGGACTTTTGGGGATAACCTGAATCAGTAAATCAGAACTAAACAAGTTTCAAGTTTCATTTCTTCATTTGCATAAAAAGATCTGATTGAGAAGCTGGGTGGGAAATATCATTTACGTTGCTAGCTCTATGCCTTTTTTCTAGAACCAGGTAGAAATAACTCTTTGAAACATAAAGAGGATTTGGCATAGAAAAACTACAGAACTACAGAAAAAAAGGGATGCATTAAAATGGCAATCCTCTGTTTTAAGGGAATGCATGTCTTTTTGTTGCTTTAAATATGGCATTCCAAAACTTGTAGCTGTTGCCATCAATTTGCCACTGATCAAACTCAAGCATTCAATCTCCAAGTCAGTTGTTGAGAAGACAAGTTCATAGCTCTCCACTGTCCAGCAAGTGTATCATTGAACCAAACTGGGTCCATTTGTCTACCTGCAACAGAAAGCCATACACCAAAGCACCAGGTTTTTGCAGTAAGAAAGGTTTATTTTGACTTGACCAACAAGGAGACAGGAGGAAATGCCCAAATCTGTCCCCTTAAGCTGAGGAGCCGGGGTGGGTTTTATAAGCACAGGGTAATAAGGCTGACCTGATTGGATCCTGCCACGGGTCGTGGTTGGGATCCATCTGATCGGACCCTATATTCTGCCATGCGGTGCCCACTTCTTGGTAGGAGCACTTGGGTTGCACACTTGGTTCATCTGGGACTGCTCAGGCTACTGACCTTCAACCTGGGAGCCCATGGCAACTGAGAACCAATTTGCAACTTTGTTACATGAAAGCTGAACCAGATTGGTCTGATGCAGTTACAAATCCCCCTCCCTTCTTACCGCCATCCCTTTCTTTAGGGAGGAAGAGTGATAGCCACTTTAGTTTCTTCCTGCTGATTAGGGTAGAAGGAAGCTGTTCAGTGCTCAGGATTATGTTTAAAGCTAGCCAAATCCTCTTTATGTTTCAAGGAGTTATTTCTACCTGGTTCTAGAAAAAAAGCATAGAGCTAACGACATAAATGATACTTCCCACCCAGTTTCTCAATCAGATCTTTTTATGCAAATGAAGAAATGAAACTTGAAACTTGTTTAGTTCTGATTTACTGATTCAGGTGATCCCCAAAAGTCCCATAGATAAAAAGGTATAGCTTTTGGGGGACCCTCAGAGTACATGTGTGACCCCTGGTCAGCAAATGGCCACATAGTCTTATTTAAAATTTAGACTCAGTCAGCCACTGCTTCAGGTTTAAGAACTGGCTCAAAGCTCTGGCAGACAGCATCATGTTCCATCACAGTGCAGGAGTGGTTGGCTGCCTGCTCCATTCCACCTGGTCCCACCCAGGGATTCCAGGGGCAGGGCAGTGGCCAGTTGAGCAACTGTGCCATTTACTTGTGAGGAACACTCAGACACCTGTTAAATTTGAGCCAACATCTCTTGGGTTAAGTTGGTTCCAGTTTCCAGCTGTAGTGAGTTTAAAGTCTCAAAGATTGGGTCAGCATGATCCAGGTGGAGTTTCTTGCAGACATCTGTTAAAACAGGCCAGAACAATTTTAAGGAGGCGCCAAATGCTTAACCCAAATATGAGGAGAATCATTAAGACTTGTTGGGTGGAATGCAGAAATCCTCTGATAATATCTGGACATTAAGAATTTAGTTCAGTAAGTCCAGCTGGGAGACCTTTGAAGGTCTCCTTCAGAGATTTGGCTAGCTTTAAAACCTTGGATGTTCCAAATTCAAACTGACTAGAAGTATTTACCCAGGTATAGCACATGGTAGCAACAACACAAACACCACCCTGTGCAGTAAGGTGTTAGTCTAAAGCAGTGTGCTCGTCTAGGACAATGTGAATAAGAGGTCTAGGAACCTCTGTTGTGCCCTGATGGCTTGGGTGGTGAAGAGGGCAACTCTCTTAAGGCAGGAAAGCTTTCTAACCACACATCCACTGCAAAAACAACCTAGCCCAAATCAGGACTCCAGAAGTCTTCCAGATGCAACTCCTTCACTAGAGTGAATCCCTCTGAGTTAATCACATCCTTGATAACCTCGACTGTAGCCCACAGGTTATTGTCACATTGGATTGTGCTCCAAGACTCTCAGCTCTTAGAGAGCAGGGTGGGTAGCATCGGCAAGGCTCCCTGAATAGATAGGGATTTGGGTAAGAGCTGTTTCTGTGACCAAATCTCCTGGTGAGGAAATTCAAGCATTATTTCCCTCTTTTGAGGGGAAGAAAATGTGGACTCAGCAGGTTTCTAGGAAGTCCCTTTCCAGAAGGTGGGTGGGGGGCTGACAGGACAAGAAACAAAATGTCACTACACAACCTTCTGAATGAGTTCAGGACTCCAAGGAGGAAGTGTTGAATGAATGCCAGGTTAAGAAAGACTGAAGAAAGGTCGTTGGGCCGTGACAGGCAAAGTGCTGTATAGATCTGTCCATTGGGCTTGTATTATTCTGTTAGTCTGTCCCACCAGACCCCAGGACTGGGTGTGGTAAGTACAATGGAGATAAATAGGCGAAATTTTGCAAACACTTTCAATAATTTGCCCTGGAAAATGAGTTCCCTGGTTGCTATGAAACATTTGAGAGACTCCCCAGGTTGGTGTAATTTTTCCTACAGGGCCTTAGCTACTAACATGACTGCAGCACAGTCAAGATGTGACCTCTGCAAGGCAAGGTCAACCCAACACTAAAGCCCAAAGTCATAACTAATACATACTGGTTTCCTTGCTGCTGTGCCTCAGAGGGACTGTCCAATGATGAGGAATGGCCCATGGAGGCATGAGATAGTTCTCCAGTATTGCACTTAGACAGATTTTACACAGGTACCAAGGTCATGAAGGGTCTGAAGATATACCTGCTATGTAAATATTGGCCGTTTTACCCTTGGCTAAAAGACATGTCCTAGCAAGAGCATGTAATTCTGCTTGTTGGGCAGATGTGGCATTAGGAAAGGTAAGTAAAGTGGCAGGATTAAGCAAGTTACTTGAGTGATGGTAAGGTGGGTGGGGCTAGAGAGAGAACCCCATCATTTGCCGGTGCATGTGATGTGAACTGAGAAGAGATCAACAGAGAACGGAACACAGGCAGTGACAGGTGGCCCCACAGCTATCTTCTCTGTGGCTTTTACAAAGGAAGAGACAGAATCAACTGAGTTGAGACAAGGGGACCACTGTTCTAGTTTGTTCCAATTCTGGTATCTAACTCCCCTCGTTGGTTAGATTTAAGAAGGAAAAAGTCCCTGATTGTCCCAGAGCATCCCTAAGTCTGAACCGGGGGAAGAGGGCCAGGGCCTCCACCAGGATTTAGTGATAACCAAATATTTGAGGAATTTAGGAGAATTCAGAATCTAGTTCAGTCCGCAGGCAGATAACAAGGACATGAAGACAATGCCCAGGGTTACTGTCTTGTAACAAGGGTACTTGTGCTTTCCTCCAAAGCATAGCTTTTTTCTCCACATGCAATATGTAGGAAATATGAACCTCTTGCAGTTAGGAAGCCAAACCAAGGCAGGCTTTAGATTTTACTTGCATTCTTTTTTTTTTTTTTGAGTTGGAGTCTCACTCTGTCACCCAGACTGGAGTGCAGTGGCCACTCCCGGCCACCGCAGCCTTGACCTGCTGGACTCCGGCAATCCTTCCGCCTCAGCCTTCCAAGTAGCCTGAATTACAGGCATGCACTACCACGCCCGGCTGTTTTTTTGATTTATTGTAGAGATGAGGTCTCGCTGCCCAGGCGGGTCTTGAACCTGCGGGCTCAGGCAATCCACTCACCTCAGCCTCCCAAAGGCGCGGGATTACAGGCTGAGCCACCAAGCCTGGCTTACTTGCAT